AGGCATAGCTCCTTTATAAGATGTTTTGCTTCCACCAGAAGAGGGAGAGTAGGAGCTGTTGGTCTTATTTGCTTCTCCTGAAGAGGAACAGACTTTGCTCTCCAGAGGTTGCTCTTTGGAGCCTGTGTGTACAAGGCAGCACCTTCCAGACTCAAAAGCAAAAAATAAAATTGCTTTTTTTCAGTTATCTGCTTGTGAAATTTCCCCTTTGTTTCTTTTATGAGGCTGTTTTTACACAAACAGCAGAGCCCCATGTACAGCACCTTACCCTGCTTCTGTTTTAGGAACAGCCTGGGCATAATTAGGACATATAAGATCCACTATGTACATATGCCACAGGCATCACCTTCAGCCCATGCTGCTCTTGAATAAAGCAGTTCAACGCATTCAGAAGCTGAGAAATGTCCCTCTGTCCAGGATGTCCATCCAGTTCCAGACTGCTCCAGTGAGTGCAACAGGACAGATTGTCTTGGGGCCCCAGCTTGTTTTACAGCCCCTTCCTCCAGCACCCCCACTTTCTCATCCTTTTGTTAGGGGGTACATCTCTCAAAGATGCATTTGCATCCTTGCATTTGCCCAATCTCTTTTTGAATCTGTAGATACAGCATCCTGTGACAGCAACTTCACCAACTGTGCCTGTAATTTTTTTTCTGTCTGCTTTATGCTGATCTACTCTAGCATTGTGTATGCCCAGATTCTGGGGGGTTGTTTGGCTGCCACTCTGAGTTAAAGGCTTTGGAAACCCATCAATGATGGCTCAGTGCACCTCAGTGAGTCTGCAGAGTGACTGTGCCTGGGAACACAGCTGGGTACCACAGCCCCCCACACCTGCACCACTGGGTTGTGCTGCTCCTTTGGGTCCCCAGGATCAGTGTCTGGTCCCAGTCACCTTAATAACCACTTTTTCTATTTAATCTCATCCCATCTCTTACCTCAATGAAAGTGACTTCACTTACTTTTCCTTTACTCCTGTTAGCTCTTTACTCTGTGTTGCCCTTCTCCTTCCGATTGCTCCAGCTCTTCCAACTGATCCACTGCAGACTGGCAGACATGGCGAGCTCCCCAACAGCTTCAGCTGTAAAAGCAGCCACAAAGTTATCACTGACTTTCTCTGCTACATCATCGTCCCCATCTGCCACTTCTATAGCCTTGTCGTCAGCATTCACACAGATTTCCTAGCTGTCTTTGTGGCTTTGGTATATTTAAAGAGCCTTTTATCAGCAGCTAGAGCATCCTTGGCAAGGCAATTTATAGATCTTATTTTTAGCCCTGTTTCTTTCCTGTTTAATTGTGACCCGATATGTTTTATGGGTTGCTTTGTTCTTTGACCACTTTGAGCTTTTAGTGTTGGGTTTGGGGATTTTTTTTGACAAGTTGCTATAAAAATCAGTGTTTTCAGTTCACACCCCAAGACCTGGGAGAGGCCAATTTAATGCTGATGGGAACCCTTAGTAAGCAAAGCTACTCCATCTCCCCCCCACCAATACCAGGCACATGGCATTGAAACAGAGAGCATTACTGGGCTTAAACTAAAAGGCTGAAGGACAGGAATTTTGGATAAAATAGCAACTGATGACTTGGCAGTTGCCAAACTTGACAAATGACAGTCCTCCTCTCACAGGAGTGACAGATAGGGCAGTATTAGGCTTGCCTTGCTGTAGATTGTGGGTTATTGAACCACAAATTACCAGCAGGATCCTCTGTCTCTGGTTGTAGCAAGATCCAATCACCTTCCTGAGCCTGGGATGAAGTTGAGGTGGCCTCCCTGAAATCTGCTAGGAATAGTCATGTTCACCAGGACACATGCCTGAATCCCTTCAACCCTCACCTGAGTTCCCCAAACATTCTCCATACCATTCTGTTGGGAAGCCATTCCTACCAAAGAGGTGAGAACTTCTTGCTAGAGGAGAGGCTCCTTTTTCCCTCCTGTTGGAAGGAGTGCTGTCATTCACCTTGAAAACAGCCAGACATCAAACTCAAGTTACACAAGAAGTGAAAAGTCAAGCCCTTTGGTCTGCAGTGGTATCTGACCTTCATTGTTCACTTTTACTTGTTTATACCTCCAGCTTGGCACTTCACATGCAGGACCTGCATAAAAACAGTCTCCTAAAGGAAACAAGGGCAACAGGCAACCAGAAAAAATGCAAAGTTCTTCCTGCTTTCAGGCCTGAAAGGTGCTGCTTTCACATGCAAGTTTGCATGCTGGGTTTTGCTGGGGAATGTGTGGATGCAGGGTTTAGCTCTCAGTTTTGAGAAGGTTTCAGGTGTAAGCAGTGCTAACAGCAGCAGGCCTGGTCACCCCACCTATTCTTACCCTGCCACACCACTACACTCCTGAGGTGCAGCTCCTCTAAGGCAGATGCCCAGACCTGGGTTCTTACCCCACTGCCACCCACAGCACCTACCATGCCCCTCCCCTCCCACCCCACATTGCTTGAATATGCTTGGGTATATCTAAATAAATGTAGAATGTCTTATGACTGAAGCTATCCCAATATTCCCAAGCAAATATGTGTTGTAACCAGGTAAACTTCTGTTCCAGCTCCTTTAGCACTGTTTAGCACACCCTGGTGCAGACATACCAAGCAATTGCACTCTCCAGAGCGACTTTGGGTCTAGGGTAAAAGTTGGTGGCAGACTTGAGTGGCAACCTCTTCCCATCTCCTCTGTGGGTCCTGTGCCAGCAGGACACTCTGCTTCTCAAGGACACACCACACCTCAAGTGAGAAGATAGAGGGGAGAATCCAGGATGCAAAATGAGTCGTGGCAGATCCCTGGAGCCTCTCAGCCTGCCTGCAGGCATGTCCACACTCACCCTGACAGTGAGGGCACAACTCAGCTCCTTTCCGATGCCTACTTGGATTTTGAAGGATGGGCAGGAGAAACAAAGCATGAGTCAAGAGGCAGCAGTCATAAAACTCAGCAAACAGCATTTTCCATTATCACATTTACCAGAATAATCACACATTGCAAATAGACACACAGAAGTGAAATATCTGGGAGTTTGCCCTTTCGGTACAGAATTCCAGTCCAGATAAAAGAACTGTAGCAGCCTTTGATATGCTAAAAAGGAACAGGTCTCATTGGTATCTGATAGTCCCTCCCCAACACGGGCTAAATGACAACTGGTTGCAGTTGCAGAAATTAGCTTTGAATTAGAGCAATTAAAATTCCTCTGCAGTAAAATGATGCAAACACCTGGGTGTTTTTGCTGCTTTTATTACCAGTGATAACACATGCCGGGGATATCACACTCTTCATAAAGTTTTACTGCATTAAAGTTTCTTGTTCAGCATTCAGCTGCCTTTCCAACCTGTGTTGCTTTGCAAAAAAATGGGAGATAACACACCTGCCTATGTAGCAGATTACTGTTACATGTATTTTATGCATGGAGCCAGGAAATTTACCTCAGTGAAAGACCACGATGACCATTTCAGTGGGCTGTTGCCGTTGATATTGAAAAACCTTTTTATTCAGCTCCATGTAAACCCAAGTTTCAGTCTGCCCAAAGATTGGGAGGAGGAGATAACCAAGCAAAAATAGCCAGCTGAACCTGAATGAAGCTGAGCTTCATGACTTTCGGCCAGTTTCTGCCTTTCTCCCATCCATTTTCCAGTGTCTCATCACATGCAAAGTTCCCCAGAGTGGAGTCTGCATGGGGTTAACAGAGTGCTGCAGACAGCAGAACCTCTCCTGCTGCTGAAAAGTCAGAGAAAAGGGGGAAAGAAAAGGATTGAGCAGAAGGATTAGAAGCTGGAAGCATCTCCTTCACCCAGGTTATCATGGAGACACACAGGGCTCAGAGAAAAAGAAGGGGGTAGCAGGCATGGGGGGCCACACGTTAAATTGTTGGGGGAGGGAGCTTGTCCAGCTTGCAGGGCTTTTCTAGCTGGAAGAAGAATGGGTTTCTCTACCTCTTGTGATAAGAGTAACCATCGTGCCTTGTTTTGCTCCTCCCAGAGGAAAAGCAGAGAAAATAAGACCAAATCCCTCCCCACCCTTTGAACAAGGTATCATGACTAGTTAAATCCAGCTAGCCCTGCTCCACGGAGCCACGCCGAGCGAGCAGAGATGCACACAGATGGTGGGGTTGGCTGAGGCCACCAGAACCTGGACTCTTACAACCCTGCCAATGGCAGACGCTGTGCAGCCAGGTGACAGCAGCAGAGAGGACAGGAGTGAATGGGAAGAAAGAAACAATGAACGCTCAGAAAAACAACAGAGAGAAAATGGCACCTTTTCTCACCAGCTACTTCTGAGAAAACAGTGTCCGCCTCATTTTGCTACAGAAGCCACAAGAGAAAGATTAGGACTATTTAGGACCCAGCTTTCAATCACTTAACTGGCAAGTGGGAGCTGGCTTTGATCATGATGAGACTGGAAACAAGCATCTGCATGGACATCCTGGTAATCTCTGCAGCCACAGACAGTGTTCCCTACCACGGACCCCCAAGCTTGTAATTTAAACTGAAAGACACTTCTTTTCCTCTGGGCCATTAACAGCTGCCATCAAATAGAGCAGTTTGTCCAGCATTTTCAAAGGAGATCCAGCACTAACTACCCAGTTCCCACCAAAAACAACCACAGGATATTGGTACCAGTCTCACAACAATAAACATTTTAACTTCATTAATACTTAATAATATTTCTGAACTTCTGAGTGAAAGCTGGGTGCTGATGTAACTAGTCTGTGCACACTTGTGTCTAAACACTGCACAAATTTTAACATAAAATAGTCTCTAGGGTTTAAAAAAAACACTTAAATCACTGGGAGGAAGATAACAAAGCCATGGTATTGAGAAAAATAATATTTAATAGGAAAAGTTAATCTGCATATATAAAAACCAAAACACAAAATACAACAGAATTAAGTGATGCTTTAAATGATTGTAACCTATAAATATATGTACAGATGGGTGCATATAAGTATTTCATATAATTATAATGTTAATTCCAGTCAATAGATAATGCACACTCAGTAAAATACAGTAACATACAAATTATTTTACAGACAGATTTATTGACTGTATATAAGAAATTTTAAGAAATCCCAAACACCAAGCTTATTATCATTCAAACATAAAGACTGCAAAGGAAAAAAAAGTGCTAGCACTTTCCACAGATGCTAAAAATGTAAAATCAATGCAGTTTTGCAAGATGAAGAAGAATAGTGTTTGTTTGAAGATATTGTATCTTGCCATTGTATTGGGAAGGAAGCTGTGGAAAAGGTCAGACAAGGGCCATTGTCTCACACACCCCATGTCAGCAGAGATCTGAACAGAATGCTTTCAGATGGGAAATACTGGGGGGTTGAGGAGGGTGAAAAAACCTGTATCTAATATAGTAAAGTGAAACAGGTCAGGTTCTCATGAAAAACAGTTTTCATCTGCCCAAAGCTGTAGTTTAAATTAGGTGAGCATAAATCCAAGTGAAGCTAGGGGTACTGATGGTTTTAAGCATCACACATATTGCCTGGACCATCTTCCAGAAGAACTGAAAACCAGCAGGGTTAAAATCCTGATATCTTGTGTACACTGACTCTCTTGCCAATGTACTGGCCTCGTTGAAGAAGTCTAATGTTTATGGGAGCACATTAGTTCTTTTAAAATAAGTCTTCTTCTCCTTACTCTCTAACATTTATCCTTTATTTCAAAGTTGTCCATGATCTCTTTCAAGCAGGAGTCTTCCTCTAGAAAATCTTGAGAGAATCTGGGGTTAAGGACATTGTTGTCTCTTCTGCTGAAGTAACTGCATTGGTGAGAGGCTGTGAAACTCTTTGCTCTGACCCAGTGTTGTGGCAGTCATCTTCTACTGCTCTGGTCACTCAGTATCTGCTCTGCATCCTGAAGCCCCTGGGCTCCCGTGATATGTCGTACTACAGGGAAATTTTAGACAAGAAAAGAAGAGAAATAAGGACTCACAAATATCATCAAGTCCAACACTTGCATGTTAGCCCATACAGAGTTTGATCCCACAACCTTGGTGTTATTAACCCAAACTGAGCTAATCTCAAACCTCTGCTTCCTCCATGGCTCTCTTGCAGAATTAAAGGATAAAACAGACCTTTTTTTTTCTTTTTTTTTTTTCTTGAGAACATGGCTTGCTGACCAGGCTCCCCTGTGCTACAGCAGTGCAAGAACTGTTCTATATTATTCTTGGCACTTCACACCTTTCCCCTCTTCAATGCTGCAACAGCTGCAGATGCTCTTGCTGTGGAGGAGCAGCAGCAGGCAGCTGGGAGGACACAATCCCTTGGGCATCAGTCCCACTTTAAATTGGCTATTAGCCTTGCATGAGGCTGGGAGCTGCCACTGCAGCACCTGTTGACTCTTCAGCAGCCTAAAAGCAGCTCAGGTGGTAGCAGTCTGTGATGCTTGCAGGTACTCCTGTGCTCAGGGATGAGTTTGGCCAGTGCAAATATCCTGTGACACAGCACACCACTGGGCAGCTAAGCTCTTGCTCTGAACCTTGCCTTTCACATATCCCTCCTGTAGCTCAAGGATGAATACTGGGCCTTTAGAAAGGTCTTTATGAGTGCTGATCTCTGCATTGAGGAAAATTTCAGTATTAAGAATTTTTTTCAGCTGCAGCTACAGTTGTTTGGGTGTCTTTATATTGCTTTGGCCTTCTAAACCAAGGGAGGATGTACAGAGGGGAGCTTAGGTTCCAACAATGTCTGTAGCCCACAGTGCTACTGTTCAGGAATTCCATTCCCACAGGACTATGTGAAATACTTACCAAATCATCATAATCCCTCTCTGGAAAACGATCTCTATAATTGGAACGCATCTCATAGGGGTTGTTTGGCTGATATCCTGGGTTTGCATGGCCAGAAGTGGTCTGGACCCTCGGGAACATGCTTGGTCTATCATCAGAGGTATTCATGTCAGAATACCCTGACTTTACCAGGCTCCTCTTCTCTGGATTTTGCTTGTCTTTTGCTCTTCAGAGGAGATGAAAGAAAAAAAAGACTTTTTAGTGGGTCTTATTTATTAAATCCAACTTACTGATTTGTCCACTCCCACCTTATTTTGAATGCTCAGTCCCATTCTGAAGCATGGAACAGATTTTTATAGCTTGCCTAATGCAAAACCCTTATTATGAACACTCAGTAATGCAGTTTCTATTCAACTGTAAGAAATATTCTTACCTGACTGAAACAACAGAGACTGCTATCACCAAAATCAGGATAATGGCTCCAAGCACTGTGCCCACTATTATAAGAATGAGTTTGGTATCTAGGGGGAAAAAACAGCAAACAAGAAACGTGACAATTAATAACTCTCAGTGAATATTGGAAAATGGGAAAGGGTAGGGAAGGATTTATTTCCAGGCTCCTGGTGCTTACATTTTGTAGACACAGAAAGATGTAAATTAAGGATCTGCATTAAAGACCATCTCTTATGGATGGCTATTTTGACCCCAGCTCTAGTTTCTAAGGTCATGCACTGAATGGTTTTACACATAGCTATAGGTGAAGGACAGGAACCACTGGGAGGATGTAGGGGTTGTGTAAGCTAGTATTGATACTAAACTGTGTAGTTAGGTGTCAAATAGGCTCTTCTCATGCCTTAGGCACATAAGGCAACAGAGAAATTTCAATTTTTTTTCCCCTAACATTTTCCTTCTATAAATGAAGAATAGTGGTACCTCTAAAGGCTCCTACCTTTTTTGTTACCTCAGACAGATTAAAAATTACTAGTTATTTTTCAAGACCATAGTTAAAAATAAGAAATTCTTATACTTACTGTCAGTGCATTCCTCCCCAGAGTAGCCCAATGAACAACTACAGGAGAGAAAAAAGAAAAAGGGGAAAGGAAGAAAAGATGATTTTTAGGGTCCCTTTTAATCCAAACCATTCTATGATTCTATGATCTCAAAACAGTAGTATATTTCCCCCTTTTGCCAGAAATTTCTCCACAAAGTGTATTCTTTACAGGTTTCCTCTTAATCTTAAACTATTTACTTTCATTAGAGTGAAACAATCTGAGATTTTCAGAGTAATTAGTGATCTTGGTACTCAAAGTTTCAGGTTCTCAGTCTGAAAAATGTTCAAGGGACTTAATTTTTCTAAAGAACTAAACTCTTCACCTCTGAGCCATTTGGAATTGCCATGAATGTCTTTAACAAAAGCCTCAATATAATGTCTATAAGGACTGGCAACTTCATCTTCCTCCCATAGTAGTTTCTTATATTTAATATATATCAAATTTATTATAAGAAATGTCCAATTTGCAGCAGTAATAACTACAAAAAGAGCTGAATTAATGGACATGGGGAGTGAGTCTCTCTGTTTATCCACCAGAGCGGACCACAACCAGTCACTCACCCGGCCTCACCAGCAAACACCATTGTTCTGCTCTGATCCTGAGCTGATAGAAATAATTTCAGAGCAAAAAACAAGCAGGAATAACATAGGTCTGAAAGTTATACCACTGCAAACATTCCAGGGATTGGAGGCACGTCTTGCTCTAGTGCCTGTTGCTTACTACATATTTCAGCATAGCAGCTCCCATGGCTCAGGCACGCTGTTGGAGTAGTTTGTGTTTATGTGGTGAAGTGCTTTATCCTCTCCACTCACTCTGCTGACCTTGGGTCTCCTTGCCTTTTCTCTGAGGTGTTATGAGTGCACACAAAGGACTAATGCCAAGGAGTAAAAACGCCACAACTTGTGACACCATGGGAATTTGTCCACCTGCAATGCCCCTCGGGCACCTCTCTGATTCACATAGCTGCAGTTTGTTCGGGATTGCAGCTGGCACTGGGACAGATGTTATTCTCCCCTACAACCCAGGAGTGCAGTAAGAAGCTGAATACTCACGCCACACAGTCTCCAGACTCATTTTTAAAGTTAGGCATACATTTGCATGCTGGAACATCATTTTCTTTTACACAGTGCTTTTTTGCCTCTACGGAACAGGTTACATTGCAAACTGTATTTTCAGGGAGAAAAAGATGAGTGAATTGCAGATAGGAGATTATTTTATTGCTCTAGAAACACACCCACCCCTCTCATATGCTTTAAAACATCAGAATGGCTTTTTTAGGACTGCACCTATGTAAAACAAAAACTAAAATATAAAATCACAAAATTAGAAGTAAACAGGCTGTGTTTAAAACTATCCAGCTTCATCAAAAAGGAAATCTGGCTAGGCTGCATCTTCCATAGGCAAGCAATGGCCTGAATATTTCACAGCAGATGATTTGTATGGCAAACTGTATCAGTTTTAGACAGGCATGGGACCACAAAGGCCTACACTGGATCACATCTCACTGGGATTTATTGTAGCAACTTTAATAACTTTATAATGATTTTTTTTTAATTATTTGTTATTTTTTTTAAAATCTTACATCTTACACTTTTTTTTTTTTACTTCTGTAGTGTGAAAATTTTAGTTTCCATAAGAAGAAAATAAGGTGTTTTGAAGAAAATTAGGTACATCACAGGGCTTTGGAGAGTAGCTAAAATATAAACAGAGCACTGACTAAAAGACTCAAAACAAGAAAGTAAAAACAAAACATAGCAACTAACAGTTCCCAAAAATGACAGAAATAATTCTTCTCAAAAAAGCCTGCCTAAATCCAGGTAATGTAAACCTAGAATTATGAACAAGGGACAGAGCCTTAACAGGTCATTGTAGTGCACCATGAGACTTCCAATTCTCTCAGCTCCCTTCAAGTAACATGTATAATTTATTCCCAAAATATGTCCTAACAGAGAAAGCTGTGAGTATAGGATTCAATTTGCTCCATCCTTTACCTGTTTAGGTTTCAGTTCTTACCAGGACTCTAACAATGCAGTTAAGGACTTGCCTACTCACTGTTTTCAGTTATGATTTTATCAAGTTTTAATAATTTTTTTCTACTGGAATAAAATTACGTATTCGTTCAAAGTGAAATGTGAGTATGTGTTTCTATGGTTTTCTTCGCAGGATGCACATTCCCTGATATTTAGAGGTCAGCACATTGGCCCAGCACACTTCTCAAAAAGGGACCAAGACAGGGAATAAGCAGGTTAGCCTTTCAGGGATAGATAAAGCAGCAAGGTTCTTACCTGAACAAGAACGATCATCCCATTCTGTCTTTGCTAAATCGGGTTTGCATCTGCATTCTGGAAACCCTCCGTCCTCTTCACACACTGTGGTTTTATCATCACATTCATAAATATCACAATTTTTTTCCACTTTAAAAGAGAAAGAGGGAGCAAACCTCAATACCCTTTCATAGAAAGCAGTGCACTTGCCCAGTAAATCACAAATCAATTTATTTAGTAATTCTAAATAGAAAAAAACTGTAAGTCCTTTCCTTGGGACATCAATATTGCAGGCTTTTGGACCAGCCTTTTTTTCCCTCCTTGCTCTTTACCAGTTAAGGTCCTGTTTCCATCACATCTGACCTTCTGTTTCTCAGCCTTCTACAACTACCTCCAAACCTTCCTGGCTTCAGTTTATGAAAAGGGACATTCTTCCCTTCATATTCTGAAAACTGACTTTCTGGCTCACCTTAAAATAACAAAAACCCTACAGAGAAAAACCATAACTATTCTCCTAGTTTTTCTCACAACCGAACTGTGAGACCCAGATCCCATACTGTTCTGGAGAGATAGAAACATGGGCATGCAGCTTATTTCATGAGCAGCACTAGTACCCTGTTTGCCCAGCGTGTTGCTCTTTAGATCCATGGCCTTGTGGTGGGAATGGTTGAAAGACCTCAGTGCATGGCCTACGCTGTAGAGGGATGTAACTGCACTGGTGCCTTGGGAGCTCCCAGTGGTTTCCTATTCCCTTCTCACAGCTGAGGTGGATATAGTCACCTTCAGAGACTAAACTCAGGCTTTATGCCATGAAATGGACTCTTAATTACTAGCTATGCCTTTTAAGAAAGCTGATTTCAAAATAAGTACTTATATTAAAAAAAGAGAGAAAAAAAGTCCTTATTTTAATTAGAAACTCTTTCTCCCAGTATTACACCTTTAATAGTACAAGACTTCACTGGTTTAGATCAACAAGTCCCTTAGCTCAGTATCTAACCAGTGAGGTCTCATTTCAATTACCATGGCTTATTATGGGAGAAGTCTAGAGAGAGTTTAATCCTGTTTTGCCATCAAAATACTGGCTTATTCTCAGAAGCACAATATCTACCTATATGTATTTTATCCTGATTTTTCCCACTTTTTTTAACATGCAGCAGGTTAGAACCACCACGGTATTGCTTACCAGGGAATATTTTCCTCTTCTTTACACAGGAAGTAGGAAGCCTTAATAAAACAAAAGAGCCTAGCACTGAATGATAGAATCTTCAAAATTACCCAAGATTGAACATTCAGCTCCTTAAAAACAACAAGGCTTATGATTTGATGGGCTTCTATGCCCACAGATATCTTCCAACCAGGTTTCAAGAACCTCTGTTTTTGCTGATTAATGACTTCCCTCGCAAGGAGCTACATACCGGCATAAGAATGCACATATGAATAGTTTCCATTCTCTATTGCAGCTGTTATTGCAGAATAAACTGTGGCATTATCTGCAGATGAGTTCAACATGAAGAGGTTTGACACTGTTACATGCACTGGAACAGAATTTCTGCTTTTGCTTGAAGATCTGAAAAGGACAGAGAGTACTGTTTAAAAGTTTTACATAATCCATATGGATAGAAAGCTAGATGCAAAGATGAGAGAAAATTTCTGCCTAATCTCCCTCTCTTCCTCTTTCTTCCTATAATATAGGGAGCTGCCAAGAGACCAGAAAATGAGTGTAAGTCTTGCTCAGGAATATATTAACAGCCGTCTTTCCAGTTGTTCCGGGTGTTAATAGGTAGCTGCTGGATTTAATGCTGACAAACATTGCTCCTTTGTGTGCTGTTGAGTCACAGCTGACATCTTCTAACTGGGTTAACCTCAAGCCAGCTGCAGTATGGAGAACCTCGTCTGTTAGATCCTAACTTTCACATGCTTCCATCAGCATGTGGTGTCACCCAGGCATGATGTGGAGAACCCACCCTGGAGCATGGTGAGGATGATTCAGGGTATGACCACAATGAATGCAGAAGGGTCTCTTTGTGATGTAGAGGTATCTGTGCAAACTGCACACGATCTGAGCTGGGTTCAGCTCACAGCAACTGCCCTGGCATGAGATGGAGAACAGTGACTTCCCTGTTCTTCTGCAAAACCTCATGCTGCCAGGATATGCACACAGATATCTTTAAGTGGCAGATTGCTGTAGTTCCTTGAGGTGTTACTGTGCCCCATGTCACAACTGCTCTGCTGGAAGTTATTGCCCCCACAACTCTGTTAGAACAACATTTTGCTTTGCTTCTTAATCCCTGGAGTGTACTGGAAGGCTTGACACTGTGTGCTAGCATGCCAGGTTTTGCTTGATGGGGGTTAGGAAACACAAAGAAGTTGGCAGGGCTCTGGGGACAGTAACAGTAACCTGTACAGATAGGGATGGGAAAAGAGAAACATCCCTCATCCCTACCTAGACCAGCAATCCGTGCCCACAGCTATAGTCACCACAACCCGTTCAGTAGCATCTTTGCTCAACCTGCCATCAGGAGACACCAATAAATGCACAATAAAAGGCATTTTCTATGCCTCCTGTAACAAGGGTGGTTTTTAAATTAAACTGGGACTCCAAGCAGGGTAGCACTCTTAGCGGTCATAGGAACTCAGAGTTAACCATTGGAATTTCAGACATGTCAGATATGACAGGGACTGTAGTTACAGCACAGTGCTGTATCCTACATGGTGCTAGAAGCAGGGCATTCAGTGTGGAGCTGTCTCAGCCAGGATCCCTCCTTTATGGGGAAGCATTCTGAGCTGATCTCATCCCATATATTTTATTGAACTGAGAATTTCACGGGAAACAGATTAAAATGGGGTATGTGGGAAATGTGTACTGTGCAAAAAACAAACTGGCAAACTTACCGAATTTTCAAGATGACAGTTTCTACATAGCTTAGATTTTCAAAGGCCTCTCTAAACTGTAGAAGAGAAAGAAATTGGAGTTCAAGGCAAGCATTGGGGAAAAAAATCACATGAACCACTAAGGCTTCAGCAGTAAAGTTTTAATACAGAGCATGCTACTACAGGCACAAATAAAGTAAGGTGATGTGTGAAATCCACCAGGCAAGGTATTGCAGAAGAGAAACAGTAGGGTGGTGCTGTAGAATATGGAAGAACAGGGAATATGGGAGGGCAGTGGAGGGATGGAGAATGAATGTCAGGCTGGGTTAACTGGCTGATAGTTACAGATACCCCTTTGCAAACTCATTGCTCAGGAGGGTGTCTCCACAGCACTAGTCTATGTACAAGTAGGGGGAAGAGGGAGAAGTTGACCTCCGCACAGATAGCACATGTCCCTGAGAAACAATGAAGTGGGATCATCAGGGGTTGATCTTGTGGAAAGAAGCACTGATGAAAGCATTGGGAGGTGAACAGGACCAGAAGAAAAGTCACTGTTCTCTCTCATCCCATGTGAAGCAGGGAACAACCAGAGGAGGCAGCTGCCTTCAACTGCCACACAAGCAGGAGGCACCATAAGAAGAGGACAAGATGTCTAATTCAACTGAAATAAAGTATCCATCTTTCTTTGTAATAAAATTCAAATTATTTTCTATGCTATTTTCACTTTTGCATTCTATTATGTGTCTATTTTAGTCCTACATACGATGCTCTTCTGTAGCCATATCATGAAAAAATGCTGGACAAACAAATTGATAAAATATTTTTTAACATTCTGGAGGAACAGCTTTTGGTCGCTTTCTGATACAACATTCATAGTAATCAATATAATAATAAGCATCAATTGATAACCATTTTTTATGATTCCTGATTAACATCTGGTTAATATTTTTCAATCAGATATCTGGTAGAGTTGCATATCTATTCTTCCTTACTGCCGGAAAGAGAAATAAGCGAATCCACTTACTTCAACATGGCATTATAAATTAAACTGATCATCTTATTTCTCCAGGAAATTTATTACCAGATTTTATGTATAATCATAGAATGATAAAAAAATGTGCAGTATCCATTCTACTAAAAACATTAAAATACTAATACTGGCAGACTTATGGAAGAGGCTTATTATTCAGTATTTAGATACAGCAAGACAGTCATTTGGAAAAGTTTGTGCTGTGTGTAACCAATAATTTTCTTTAAAAAAAATTAAAGTTGTTCATTTTTACTCATACCACTGAGTATTAATAAGCCTTCAGCAAACAGTAGAGAGGAGAAACTCAATAGGCTGGAAAACTTCATTCAGCCCCATTGTTTCTGCATAGGGAAGGTGGAAGATGCAGACCAATTTATGTGAGAACTCCTCAGAACAGAAGTGGTACTAAAAATGCAGATATTACTTCAGGGATTCCCTTCCTTTCAGCAAGAGCCATGCATGTGCTCATCTGAGGGCAAAGTTCAAGTCTTTTATAAATAGGTCTAAACTAATGTGAAGCTTTCTTTGAAATAAGTAGATCTCTTGTAGAGTGTGACTTTTCTAGGCCCCACATTAGAGAGGGTGTGTTCTCTCTGTCTGCATGACATCCAGTATAGCATTAAATATATGGAGGGAAAAAACCATCGTCACTCACAAATTGTGATAGCATGGTGAACATCTCTTCATACTCTGTAGAATTTACATCTTGAAGACTACTAGTGTAATTTGTGTTCACTCCAATGGTTGCTGGGAATACTTTCCCTGGAATGAGAATAAAGAGTGTAAATCAGAAAACATTCAAGAAAGTCCAGTTTCACCTTAGAGTTCTCCAGCCTTCAGGGATGGGAAAATACAATACAGAAAGGAAATCAGTGCTATTTTTCATATATGGGAGGGATCAGTAGAGGACAAATCAATTTAGTCACAATGGGGGATGTACTTTGGCTGCCAGGGAAGAAGGCAGGATCCTGGGCCCAACCAATCTGTCCTGATTATGAAACTGAGTAACATTAAACTGTCAGCACGACCTGAAGCTAAAAGAGACTCTTTGAGAGGTGTTACAGAATTTAGTGAGAAAAAATGTATATTATGGACTCCAAATCTGCAGTCGTTAAGCAGCTAATGTGGTTTACTGTGGTATACAGAGAAAGTAGTTCAGAATCTACCTTAAGCCTCACAAGTAAATTTGAGATTCCTGCTTGCTTATCCCTAAATAAGAGGCCCTATTTTCTCACATGCTTGGCCATCAGAATCATTTCAGAGATGCATTTCAACAGGACTCTGATGAGTGTTAAACAATGGGGAAAGTCAATCTGGTTGTTCGCAGGCCTTCATAAGTTTGGACCTTTTTAAATTGTTGCCATTAATATGGATGTCAGGTTTACACTTGCATTTTTTTTCTGCTTTTCACTCATTTTAATCCCCTGCACTCCTGACAGAGAATTCACCTCCTTTTTCTAGAACATTAACCTCTTTGACTGTCATTGTTTTGTGAGATAGCAATCTAGGTCACTGTAGGTAGGAGTGGCTGTCTGCAAAGCAAGAAATCACTCAGCAGTCACTTTCCCAAACTGATTGTGTTTTCAATTATAACATGAAAACAAGTTATATGTGGGAAGTAAAATTAACCTGAGCAGGTAACTGAAAGCATTGATGCCCTTCTGCAACTCACCTCTGTGACAGTTCTCATTGCTGTAGTAGAATCCATATTGGCACACACAAGTATAATTGCTGTTTAAGGAAATACATGTAGCCGAATTTTGTCCACAAGGATCTCCACTGCAGAAGTCCACTAATGCCAAGATGAAAGAAATTGGCTTTAGAGTTTCTGTGAATTTTGCAACAGCCAGTTCATACATAAAGTAATTCATATATTGAATAGTTCATATATACTTCTATGAAAGGAATCAACCAGGTATGTTTTAGAGAGTATAGATGCACTTGCAGAGCAAACAGTTATATCTTGCTTGTTTAAGGTATAGTAACTGTTTTCCCTACACAATGCAGCAGGATATCACAGCTAGGACATGGAGTATGGCTGAAATTCATTATCTGTCATACTGAGCATTCACAGTTCAACTCTACTTAATACAACTAAAACCAAATCAAAGAAAGAAAGTATATCAAGGCTTGCCAGAACCAGTGACGGTTATAAAAAGACTACAACAGCCTGCGTGTCTTGAATACTGCAATGGTTTACTTGCTTTATTATGACAGTGTCATAGCACTGGGCCTTTATTGCAGACACATTGATAATATGAAGGCTCCAAAGTGAATCATAATAATATATACTCTCTGAGTAATTATATATATTCTGTAAGGTTTTAGAGTACATATTTTATGTCTATACAAAATTTAAGTGGTTAATAAGCAAGTAAAAGTTATATTTCTATATATCTTATATACAGGATGGTAAATACAATTCTCTTCCAATACATCAAATTCTGTTTTTCACTCTGCCTGGCTTTTTACACTTCACTTCATAAGTACATTCTCATAGATGAGACGTTTTCTGTGAAATGGGGAAAAAAATTGGAATTCTCATTCACACCCCAAAAAATAAAAGGTAAAACACGTAATGAATTTTCATTTTCTATGAGGCTAATCTCCAAATATTTTTTCCAGAGAACCTACTGAAGCCTTTTTTTTTTTTTTTTTCTGGATGTAAAAGATCCCTAGAATAAAGCAACAACAATTCTGAACTATTCCAAGCACATTCCACTTGCAGCAAGGGCCCTCAGGGAAGAGTGGCAGGGAGATACAGCATTAAAGGGGGACATTTTACCTACACGGAAAGGCCCTACTGGGATGGAAGATGGAGGAGTATGGAGAGCTCCTGGGATGGACACATGAACGGTCCCAGTGACACGGCTCCTGGCCCCAGCCCCATGTCGGAGTGTGCCCCAGCTCCCAGCCCTGAGCACCTCTATGCAGGGATCCTCTTGTGTCCCTGTCTGCTATAAGAGGCAAAGGAACCCAGCACAAAAAGAGCAGCCTCCTCTAATCTTGCCCAATACATTCTACTTGCAGCAAGACCAGCATGAAAAGATGCAAGAGTGGAAGTTATTCATGGCCACCATCTGGGCAGCTTTGTCTCCTTTGGA